TAAAAAATGAGTTCTTCAGAGAACAATTTGTCCCCTATAGAGAACAAAAAATCTGAAGAACAAAAGTGTTGTTCTTCAGAAAGTGTGATCGTCATCTTTTGTGTTTTTCAGAGAACACAAACCTTGTTCTTCAGTTTTTTGGAAATTCTTGAAGAACAAGTTGTCCCCTATAGGGATCAAAAAACTTAAAGAACAAAAATTCAGAAAACTGAAGATTCTTGTTGTACAAATCTTTGGAGAACACATATATGATCTCCATAGGGGACAAATGAAGATCATTTTTTTTGTTTTTCGAAGAACACAGATTTTTAACAGTGTATATTAAAAAGTAATTTTTAGTAAACTCATTGCTGGTTATTATAGATCAATAGTTACTAGTTGATGTGAAGGTAATACACATAAGCAACCAAACTGCAGAGAACTATATGCGTCAAACGCCTTAAAAAATAATTTGTTTTGAACCTCTTTCATTGCCATATCAAAATAGCACTTTTGGAATAGATAGTTTTCTCAGTTTCTACGATATAAAATGTCGTGATAAGTATTTTTTTATGATGATCATCACGTCGTGACTGTTACCATTCTCATGACAGTCGTACACACCTGTAATGTGAAGCCTGTAGTCTTAACATTCCGATCTCGCTTGATGATGTATGGGAACAACAAAATCGAGTTTTGATTTTGAAGACTTACTGCTTTTTTCTGGTTTCAAGACTCCAAATGCTTTGACTACATATGGTGTTACAAATTCAATAAATGCAACTGTAAGATCCAATGAATAGTGAATTGCGTTGAATGGTGGTGGAAATGGTGATTTTTTACGATATTCTTCAACTAACAAAAAACGATGAAATGACCATGATTCGTGGGCACCTTTGTTTACTCGTGTGATTGTTACACTAAAATTTGCTAAGTATAAACATTTTGATAATATAGAATATAAAACATTATTTTACTTGAATAAAGCAACCAGAACATTCAAAAGCAATACATTGGCCACGACAACAAAAAGAATTGTAAAAATAAATGTCATTGTACCATAAGCATCGTTAGTTGCTAAAACATACAAAAATACGTGAGTTCGATCTATGTGTGATGATGCAGCAGATCGAAATACACACACAACGACTTCTAACAGACAGCAAACAGAACTAAATGTTTAAAAAAAACTGCAAAGTTAACTTCCCTTAATCAATTACTTTCACTGATCTTAATTAATAGTATCCATTCATCCTCTTTTGTATGCTTCCTTTTATGTCTTCGTTTTTTTTCTACTGATACTGTACATGCGTTATTTCTTCACCGGTTTTTGTGAATGGTTAATTGATAGCGGGTTCCCAGGTCAAACAATTCTACCTTAGGAACCTACAAGATCTTACTATAGGATCCGGTAATCAGATCTTGTAGAATTATGCAAGATCGCACTGTAGGACTGCAGCAGGATTTTATCTCAAGTTCTGCTCGCTGCTGTAGTTTATTGATTTATTGTTTTTGTTTGGTTAATTACTCTCTGATTCCAGCTAGTCAGAATCAGAAGATTCTGGGCTGGAATAAGCTCAAGACTTCTGAGTACTGACTCACACATCGTCAAACAGTAGCGAGTTTCGATGGCTCATAGTGTTCGGTGCAAAGCTTGAGCTTAGAACAATTTTTCATTTTCTATAGTAGAGTTGTATTTATATCAGAGTTACTGCAAAACCCGTCGGTGATTGTGTTGTTCTATAGAAAAATAAAAGAAAACTATGTACAACGAAAGAATAAGAATTCTAACAAATACATAAGATTCCTATTATAGAAATTCTATAAAAAAATATTTGCTATTGTCCTATATCAAAAATCTTACTGAATTTCCGCCGTAGGATTTCATGGGAGCCTACAATAAGAATCCTGTATGGTCCTAGTAGGATTGCTTGCCCTGCGTCGGACAGAGAAAGTGGCGCCACTTTTCAACTCATCCTTTGTCTACTCATATCAACTTTCAAAGCTTCGTACTGTGCCTAAAAGACGTAGAATTTTCTCTAGTTTCTAATGCTGTGTGTAGATTAAGACGTACCTTAATCGTCTTTTCACTGCACTCAACATACCGGAAGTCTCAAAAATCTAAACTGCTCACTATTTCACTCAAAATAATATGATTTATATCTTCGTAGAAGTTTTGCTCTCGCGATTCAAAAACAGTACTAAAAACTACAATAAAATCTTAATTGTTGAGGCATAAAACCATCGTTTTGGATAAAGTTTTAGAGTCGAAAAACAGGCTACAACAATTGTTTTGAACCAAGTTTTTGCAAAATGCTAAAGGGAGAAAAATTGCATTTAAAATTTTTCTGACTTTGCAATTGCAATTTTCATGGCTTCTACTATCTGTACCAAAACGCAATGTCCCTCGCTATTTCCCGAATAACTTTTGATAGAAGAGTGTCAGAGACTTGTGGTTTCCAGTTTTTGAATTTAGACACTGAAGACGTCTTTTAGCAAGCAAAAACTCCTTTCTCCAAAAGTTAAAAATCTGTTTTTTCAGAGGATCTTTGGAAAACTATCCGTAGTTTCGTAACTTTCCGTAGAATTTTTCTTTCTTTTTTATATGAGTCTGTACATCTGAGAATCCTGTTTTCAAATCCGAAAGAGTTAAGTTTCTATCTCTCAAGGTTTCGGAGTTACAGGCGTTTTTCAAGGACAGATCTGTTTCGTTTTGGTCAACTTGGCCTAACTCAAACACACATCAGCCCTAGGTAATCAACCATGTTGATCACAGTGGTAATGTTTGTTTTCGTGTGCAAATCAAATAAGGTCAGAAAGTGAAAAGCTGAAAACCGGTTTTTGATCTTTTACCTGGGTAAATTAAAAACTCTCTGGCTCGGCCATTTCAATTTCAACATGGCTCAGACTTTCAGAAGGAACTCAGAACAGGTCAGGAATTATAAATCAAGCAATAAAAACTGCCTGAAACTGTACCCATTCAACAAAGTTTTTCGGAAGGGTTCTGAAAAACCGTCTGCAGTCAGTGACTTCTATTCCGTCTTTTTCCAATCTAGCAATGATTTTTAGTCTGTTCTGAGT